AGACATTGATATAGTCTTGTATAGTCTTTCGTCATATACACAAGCGCAATTATATATGCATCTACACGTATGTTTATAGCCACACCCAGATACATGTACATATATCAGTAGGCTCTATTATTTGTATATTACTATAGACACACCTACATAACTATATATCATATGTTTATGGATAGGTATACGGATGGCAAACTTATTTACACACATATGTATATATATATATATGGTTATATATATATGGTTATATATATATATATATATATATATATATATATATATATATATATATATATATATATATATATATATATATATATATATATATATATATATATATATATATATAATCATATTATTTAATTGGTATGATCTCACATTGTACTATCTACATGTTGTTGAATTCGCCGTAAAAAAAAACAAATGTGGGATATAAATAGCCACTATACAAGTGTAGACCTCGGCTGAGGTCTAGTCTCCTGGATTAATTCATTGAAGACAACAATGATTTATTGTTACAGAGGCTCAAGTGTGTTTATGTAAATGTTCCTGGTGGGTTGGAGGGGAGGGGTAGGGGGAGGTCGGGGTATATAAATCCTAATATAGCCTTTAACTTGCAGCTCCCCGTGGTGGTGGGGGTGAAGTGGTATAAATCCTGGTATAGCCTCTAAGTTGCAACCCACAGTGGACAAGTTTTGAGAATAAAACGAGAAGGTTGTGGTGGTGATGGTGATTGTGGTTGTGGGGTGGGGGATGGGTTTAAATCCTCCTATAGCCTGTAAGCTGCAACCCAAAGTGCCCAAATGTTGTGAATACAACGAGGAGTCGGTGGGTGGTGGTTGTGGGGGGGGGGGGGGGGGGAATGGGTTTAAATCCTCCTATAGCCTGTAAGCTGCAACCCAAAGTGGCCAAATGTTGTGAATACAACGAATCAACGCCTGTCTCAAGTTTGGTTTGCTGGTGTCCATTGTGTGCATGTCGGCGTTAACGTTACTTCATGCCACCACACTGTTAGCGAGAAATACTTTTTTTATTGGTAATTAACGATTTACTCTAAATTTAACACACAAAAACACGTTTAGGGGATTTAAATAATTGTATTTCATAACAGATGCACATTTAGTTTGAATTTAACAACTGAATCAACGCCTTCGGCAAGCATTTGGACTTGAAAAGAATCAGAAAACGCCATCTACAACTTTAAAAAAACGAACCAGCTCAATGCTTACCAAAAAAACACCCTATCTTTTAATTATCTTATGTAATATCTGCCCCCAACCCCCTCGGCCCATCCAACCATCCACTTTCCAAAAAAAAAAAAGCCTTTTAGACGAGAATCCTGCCAGTTAAATCTTGGTGTCTCAAGTGCCAGTTTTTTTCCCCAACTGAAGACCAAATCAGAATAAAATTAAAATTAGCAGTGGATCTCACCGGCATAACAGCTTGTCACGTGGTCTTAGTATACGATTTACATATCTTTAGTTGATGGCTGGGGGGAGGGGGAGGGAGAGGGGTGAATCGAAAGTAGCCTCAATGTGAATACTTAACAGAGGAGATAACACCTGGACTGTAGGTAGCCTTGGCTAGTAAGGGAGATAACTACTGGACTGTAGGTAGCTTTGATTAGTAAGGGAGATAAATACTGGACTGTAGGTAGCTTTGGATAGTAAGGGAGATAACTACTAGACTGTAGGTAGCCTTGGCTAGTAAGGGAGATAACTACTGGACTAGGTAGCCTTGTCTAATAAGGCAGAGAACTCTTGGATTGAGTACAGTTGCAACAGCAGCAATCCCATAATTATTGCTACATTCAACATATGCCTTGACCGCCATATGATATTATTGTAATTCAACTTAGCCACTTAATTAGATTGATGAAAATTAGAAAAAAAAATCGAACACAGGCGTAGCAAAAAACAAGTAGTCGATACAAACGATCGGCTTCGATAAGGTATTGATTCGTGTTTTAATAATTATATGAAATCAATATAGGACGATGGAAGCTGGCAAAATCAATTGATAGTCTGGGGTTTTCGGCTATTGATCGGTCCGTGATTGCTGTATCGATCACTGATACTTTTATAATCACCGGCACAGTGGTTTTAGGGGACAGGCCCACCCACCCCGGTCCCCACTACCCACATCCCAGGCCCACCCCAGGCCCCCACTACCCACACTCCAGCCCTCACCACCATTGCCCAAGTCCAGTCCAAGGCCCCAACCGCCACCAACCCACCCAAGGCCCCAGATCCCACCCCACCCCAGACCCACACCCCAGACCCACAACCCACACCCCAACTGCCGCCACCCCAGGCCACCGCTCCCCAACCCAGGTCCTCACGATCAGCACCACAGCCCAGGCCACTACTGCCCCCACCCCACCCTGGCCCCCAACCACAGGCCCCAATTTTAGGCTACCACTGCCCCTCACCCCATACACCACCCAGGCCCTCTAGTTTTCGTTCACACAACACAACAAAACAATACACCTTAGAGCAACATTTAACTTTTTGAACTACTCGCCAGTGGTAACCGTTGTTAATAATAAAAAAAATGTAATTCTAATATAAAAGAAAAGTCAATTGAATTTTGGCGTTAAACATTGTGTTTTTACATATTTTTTGTGTGTTATGTTTTTACATTATATTTTTACTCACTCTATACATTTAAAATGCAAAATAGAATAATATTATCAATATCATTTTTTAAAACTAAGAGCCCCATCAATTATCAATTATCAACCTGATCTAATTTGTACTATTTGCACATAAGAAATATTATATAAGCCTCATTCGTCTACTCTACACTAAAACAAACTACCTGTCAATTTTGTAAACCAACAAATCAATTCAATAGCATATCGTAACAAGACATTATATTATTCCTATTTAACACGATTTGGAGTTTTTTCGTTTTGATATTAAGTTGTATCAAAGATATCGGTTTAGAGACTTGTACCTCGGGGTCTTTATGGGTCAACATTTGTGCATCAGTTGTCTTTATGTGTCAACATTTGTATATCAGGGTCTTTATGGGTCAACCCTTGTATATCAGGGTCTTTATGGGTCAACATTTGTATATCAGGGTCTTTATGGGTCAACATTTGTATATCAGGGTCTTTATGGGTCAACACTTGTATATCAGGGTCTTAATGGGTCAACACTTGTATATCAGGGTCTTAATGGGTCAACACTTGTATATCAGGGTCTTTATGGGTCAACCCTTGTATATCAGGGTCTTTATGGGTCAACCCTTGTATATCAGGGTCTTAATGGGTCAACACTTGTATATCAGGATCTTAGTGGGTCAACACTTGTATATCAGGGTCTTAATGGGTCAACACTTGTATATCAGGGTCTTAATGGGTCAACACTTGTATATCAGGGTCTTAATGGGTCAACACTTGTATATCAGGGTCTTAATGGGTCAACACTTGTATATCAGGGTCTTTATGGGTTTCAGTTGTGCCTCAGTTGTCTTTATGGGTCAACATTTGTATATCAGGGATCATATGGGTCAAAACTTGTATATCAGGATCTTAATGGGTCAAAACTTGTTTATCAGAGTTTTAATGAGTCAACACGTGTATATCAGGGTCTTTATGGGTCAACACTTGTATATTGGTGTATTCATACAGTGGGATCATTATTTGGAGACGCCTGGCTTATAAGGACCCCATCAACTGAGACCCCACCAGCGACACACGGGTCATTTGGAGTAGTGTGGCTTTAGAAGCGGACCGGGTCATATCGGTATGTTTACACACAAAATTCTTCGCTGTGTTCAACAGTTGAGACCATTGACCATTGGGACATGTACAGGCAGAACATGGACTTTTAATTTTAAGGAAAAAGAAACTGGTCAGTATTAATGGAAAACTGGATCACTGCTACACAGACATTTTTAAGACCAGTGGTGGGGGGGGGGGGGGGGGCAAGTACACGTGTTTTTCAGTGTGAGTAACGTTTCTCGCTCATACTCCCCCTCCCCCTCTCCTCCCTATGTTTGAGACTGGTGACACCAAAACTGAGTCTCGGCTTCAAGACTTATGACATAGACGGCTGAGTCTACAAAACGTTTTGAAGATGAGACACACTCACACACACATACACATACACTCACATACACACATACACTCATATAAACACTCTCTCACACCCACACAGAGCATACATTCGCTGCTCTAACAGCATTTACTAATAGATTGGTGTTTGTTTACCTATGTTTCCTTTAATTAAAAGGGAATGAGAATGTAATTAAGCTCTTTATGGGTCACGTGACTGTGACGTCATACTCGAGGAACACGCAACAAGAAAAACATTGAAGCTAGTTGGTTGGAGACGATTATGTGTATGACTATTAGCGTGTTCGTGTGTGTAGAGAGGGGGGGGGGGACGACTATATCTTCGTTCTTCATTTTAAGTGTTGGAAGGGATCGAGTCTTATCTGCCAGAGGTTTCGAACTCGAGACTTTTTTCTCGAATTATTACAACCTTTTTTTGCCGACTCGACCACGCCTCCAACACAATTAAGTATATTTGGGATTCCATAGCCTCTGTCCAACTAAGAGCAAACTACAAGGCAGCAGATGTTTTGATTGTTCGGGGGGTTCGAACTCGAGACTTATCGGTTTAGCAACCATGAGCTTTACCGACTCGACCACGCCGACCCCCGGGGATATGAACAATGTATTACATAAAATAACATGCTTTTACTGTTCAATGCAAATTTCATTAATTTATTAACACACTATTTTATTATTAAACTCTTTAAACCAGCGTTTCTTCCAGACATTTTTTCTACCCTCCCCCCCCCCATATACTTTTACTAATGTCCGCCCCCCCCCCCCCCCCCGAAAATATTAAGTGCCCCCCACCCCCCTCTCGGAGGAAAAAGTCTGGAAGAAACATTGCTTTAAACAATTCCTCTGATGTTATTTTATGAACGTTCTATTTACCAGTGATAATGAAATCAAACAGCGTAACCAAAATAAAATATCTTACCTTGAAATAGGAGACAGACAAAAAATCCGCTGAGAAACAGCATTGTTAAGTCTAGCAGTCTCAAAACGAAACCTCTATATAAACATTCTTTCTCTCTCTTCTGCTACGGTTCCTCGCTACCTAATTACACGGCTGACGAAGTGCAGTGTAATAAACGAAAACATAATTTCCTTCCTTGAACTCCTTAGTCCATTTTTCAACATTCAAAATACTCGAATTCCCGATGAACTGAACTTTTGATTCGGTTACTGAATCACCTTACAAACTTGTGTACACGAATTATCGCATACCTTGTACATTATCGTTTCGATAACTTTTATACCAAGTCAACGCCTTTTTATAGATTCCGTGTAGAAGATTGAATATAGGTAAACCTTTTCTTTTTAAACACAGCAATCACGAAGGTGACACTGATATGACCGAACACGGCATTGAACGCAGCTGACGCGGTATAAAACGTAAACACGGCTGGCATTAAATATTCACCAGCAAAAAACTAAACCGGGCGCACGATCTCGAGTATAGATAAATGGTCCGTTTCGATACTTTCTTGCTTCGATACCCACTGAGCCGGTATGGAAAGGTAGGGCGTGTGGTCCTTTTAGAGAAGGCACGCGAAGTAAAGATTGTGTCATATTTTTGAAAATCATAATCATATCTGCTTATTTTACGATTTTGGCACTTCGATAAAACAAATTGGAATTACAAGAGCAAAATACAAATTGATAAAAAGTTTTAACGAAAGAAAATTGTTTCAATTTTTTTTTCAAATATTGACATTTTAACGTTGCAATATTTAAATCTAAGTGTGAAAAGTGTAGTCGAATACTTGAGTGAAATGAACAACTGATATCAGTTACTGTGGGACGAGGTTTTAATTAATAAGTCTCGTGACATTGATTAACATAAAACAATTAATCTTTAAAACAGTAATTAGCATAATGGGAAGAATTATCTACTTGTAGTGCCTAATTATCTGATAGGGTTTAAGTCAACGTTAATTAATGAATGAATTCCACTGGTCCGGTAGTGTTATGCAGGTAAGGGGGTCGTCCATAAACGGTGTCAAACACCGGGGGGGGGGGGTCGAACTTTAGTGACGACATATGAAGAAAAGGGAGGGGTCATTTACAATTCTATATAAGCTGTTTGTTTTGAAAATATTTTTTTGGTAAAGTTTAATTTAAAAAATATCTATTTAATCAAAGTTGAAGCTTAATTAAAAGTTAAATAAAGGAATATTTGTTTTAAATGCAAATTTCAAATTTAAGGAGGGTGGTGTGCTTAGGTGTGATGTCGTTTTAGGGGAGTTGGTGTGATTTTTTGTGACGATGTGTGACGTCATGGAAGGAATGTGGTGTCATTTTAGGTGAGGCGGTGTGATTTTTGTGTGACGATGTGTGACGTCATGGAAGGAATGTGATGTCATTTTAGGTGAGGCGGTGTGATTTTTTGTGACGATGTGTGACGTCATGGAAGGAATGTGATGTCATTTTAGGGGAGTTGGTGTGATTTTTTGTGACGATGTGTGACGTCATGGAAGGAATGTGGTGTCATTTTAGGTGAGGCGGTGTGATTTTTTGTGACGATGTGTGACGTCATGGAAGGAATGTGATGTCATTTTAGGGGAGTTGGTGTGTTTTTTTGTGACGATGGGGAGGGAGAGGAAGGAAAAAGCGTGACGTCGTTTATGGACGGCCTCTGTCAGGATGTTGATTGGGTCTTTGTTGGTTTGTATGTGGCCAACTCACAGGTAGTGGGCCAACACAGGTAGTGGATTACGGTCAAGGACGTTTTGTATTGTAGTCCTAATTTGTTTTATAACACAGAAATAATAAATATTCATAGAGCCCCTGTTAACTTTCAGCCGGGAGCCTCACTCAGGCTTAACCTCCCTTTGTTTTTGTTACTGTTATTTTATTGAGCCAACTCACTCCCAGCAGACTGTCGACTCTCTCCATGGCGTGGCCGTGATATATCGCCACATGATGAGATGGTTTATTGCTTTATTTACAGACTCTAGTGGAATATCGGGACTGTGGCTAAAGGGAGGGGGGGTGCAACTACCGGGTTATGTAGGGGGAGAGATGTGTGTGTGTGTGTTTATGTGTGTATGACACTGTGCTTCATTTATATTGATTGTCAATACAAGCATTTTTTCTGTTTTTGTGTGTTTTTATATGTGTGTATTTGTGTGCGTATGTATTTTTGTGTGTGCGTACGTTTATGTGTGTGCATGTGTGTATAACATTGTGATTCATTTATATTCATTGTCAATACAAACAATTTGTTTTTGTTTGTGTGTGTCTTTATATGTGTGTATTTATGTGCGTATGTGTTTTTGTGTGTGCGTACGATAGGGTGTTTTTTACATTTATACCCATTGTCAACACATGACACGACCCATACGATTACAAGACAAACAACATTACATGGCGCCGATACAACTCAAACAACATAAAAATGGTACAGCCATTACTAATACAACACACATGGCATTTTATGGTACTGTACTAGCCGGCTGTACTTTAACCACATTTAAAAAAAAAATGTCCAATTAAAAAATCTGGAACTAACAAGAAATTTAACCACATTTAGCAACAGGAGTTGAAATAAATTATTTTAAACTATACACTAGACGGCGCAGAAGTACAGTCAACAGGATGTAAAAAAAAATCTGGACAAAACATGTTGGCTGAATTAACAGAACGCCCAAAACAGGAATACAATAATAAAATCCGATGAAATCGTGATTATTTTTTTTTTAGCAACCTGCTACAGCTATTCTCAACGGGAAGCAATGTTAATAAATTAATTATTTTAATCAATAAAGTAAAATTAAGAATCCTCTTTAAGCCTAGCGATCCATTGGACAGATGAAGTAGGGTTCATATGTTTCTTGACCTCGGGAAGGTGTTAATTAATACTATCTAGTATTTATTCATGTGTACTGGGAGACCCCCAACCCACTTTGACCCGTAACGAACACGCCCATGTCCCTATACCACGAACACAAGTTTCATCCACTTTATCTAAACCCGACAACACCCATCGTATGTGTTTTCTGTCAAATTTAACACACTACATACATATGGCCAGGGGTGTGCCCCTATACCCCAGCCGGCTTGTAAATCTTTTAAACGAACCATTAACGTATAACCCGTGGCCTTTTTTTATAGTAGGTAAACATTAGATACACATAGGATTTAAGCCCTGGCCCCTCCCCTGCCCTGTGTACAAAAGATAACGACCCAGGCCACGGTAAACAGCGGTATGATTCGATCCGGTCAATGTGTTGAAAATAAATGGGAAAATCTGTTCAACGAGGCTTACATAGACGCCTTACATACCATAAAATCGTAGTGTTGAAGCTTAAAATTGTTGTGGCTGGTTTGGTGGTTAAAAAAAATGATGAAAAACTAATGTGGTGAAATAATTATTACTCAAAAAGATTGAGTGTTGTTAGTGGAGATTACTAGTGGAAATCAATATAAAAAAAACAAACACTAAATTTTAGAAATATTTTAAAAATTATTTATTGCTAATAAATGAACAAGAAAACAATTAATTACTTCAAATAAAATGTATAAAACTTAAAAAGCGTAGTTAAAAATATATTAGCTAATAATAAACACAATTACAAATCAAACACAATCAATCAATTGAGTATGCAAATTTGGTGTGACATAAATTAAAACGTTTTCTCGAAATCGAAGGAGGTAACCGTTAGGACTTGGTAGAACCTGTGACGTCCGCAAGCCTGCTGGAACCGAACCAGTGTTTCTTCCAGACTTTTTTCTCCGGAGGGGGGGGGGGGGGCACTTGAAATTTTCGGAAGGGGGGGGGGGGGGCGGTAGACTTTCTTCGGGGGGGGGAGGACACTGTTAAAAGTATATATTTTCTATATAAATTATATAAATTTAATTTCATTCGGGAGGGGGGGGGGCGGTAGAATTTTTTCGGGGGGGGGGGGGGGCCTATACCACTTCTACAATGTTGATATATTGTTGAAATATTCAATGATTTATCTTGAAGTCTAATGCACTGTTAGAAATATGTTAAATAATTTATCTTCATTTTAGCTGTGCTGTAAGAAAAATATTTTAAATAATTTATCCGTAGTTAATATCGTGCTGATAGCAAATATGTTCAATAACTTATCCACACTTAATATCGTGCTGATAGCAAATATGTTCAATAATTTATCCAGTAAATTTAAATGTGCTGTTAGCCTTTTTGTTCACATTTTTTTGCTGGTAGTCAATGGATATTTTATTCTTGAAGAAACAACTGAGGAAACAACGTACTAAACCGTTGCTGTTTATCTTTTGACTAGTTCTGTATGAATCACATGTGTGTTAAAGGTGTTTGTGAGTCAGCTTGAATCAACACACACACACACACATACACACACACACGCGCATACAACCACACACTCACACACACACACAACCAAGCCCCCAGAAAAGCAATAAAAGCGGCCCTCTCACAAAATATATTATGTGCATTTTTTTTCTCCGTCCATGCATGAAGACCGATGCCTTGAAAGTCATGCATCACTTTACAAATTGAAACATACAACATAAAAAAACGACAAATCGGAAGGGTTGATTAAATAGAAACATCAAAAAATATATCAAAGCACTAATAGGCCAATTTCAGTACACATCTTGGTAGTCCATAGGAATTGTTTTCTAGGCGGGCCACCGAAATTTTTCCCGATGGCCCACCAGCCCAGGCCACCCCTGCATGTACGTCATTATGTGCTGTAATCTTTGGTTGAATCAATTCATCACGCAGGTATGTAACAAAGTTTAAATATGTATGGCTGAAACTGTACCCAATCCTCGCCTCTTGTATGTGGGTGTCAGATTTTTATCATGTGGTGTTCAATGGTAATTACATTTCGTGCTATCTTAGTTCATCCAATTCACACTTTGTCTGTTTCGCAAGTCTTAACGCTGATTTTTTTTCATTCAATCTAACATAGGAGGGTGGGGCAGTGGATAAAGAAACTGTGTTTGACGTGCTAACTCATATTGATTTGTTTACTTTTTTTTTTTGTATTTGTTTACTTTTGTATTTTAGCTTTTATTTTTAATACATGACGTCACCTAATTTTGTCGATTTGTACTCGCTACTTTAATCTTCACGCAGAGGCGTAGCGATGGGGGGGGGGGGCAGGGGGGGGGGACATATGTCCCCGGGCGCCGACCTCAGGGGGCGCCAAAATGAGTTGTAAAAACAAATTAAAACGTCAATTTAGCTGCATTTTTGCAATTTGAGGGGGGGGGGGTGCAAATCGAAAAGTTGAGGGGGGGGGGGGTGCAAATCGAAAAGTTAAAGGGGGGTGCAAATCGAAAATTTGTTTCCGAGGGGGGGGGGGCGCCAAATTGAAAGTTTGTCCCCGGGCGCCGGGAAGGGTCGCTACGCCTCTGTCTTCACGTGCTGTAATAGACAGGCGGACCTACATAAAAAGATATCACTGTCACCCCCACCTCAACACAC